GAATCAAATATGCACTTTTATTCATTTACAATAAACTCATAAAGTACATCATTCTGATTGAAGCTAAGGGCATACAAAACTGTCTAACAATGGTTTGAGGCCTGAATATAGGGGCTTTGTTGTTGCAGTACAGGGATGGCAAAATCAACCATCACTTGTTGAATTCGAAAATGAAGTAGTAGAAAGGAAGAACAGGCACTTGGCAGAAATATGTCGAAGTATGCTTCATAAGAAGAATGTTCCAGGACAATTTTTGGCAGAAGCAATGAAGACTACAGCTTTCATAATCAACAGGCTTCCTCAACAAAGGTTATGCTTTCTTTCACCTTTTGAAAAGTTGTGGAATGTAAAGCCTACAGTTAGCTATTTTCGAGTTTTTGGCTGTATTTGCTATGTTTTTGTACTTGATCATTTACGTAACAAGATGGACAAGAAAGCTATTAAGTGCATTTTTGTAGGATATGACAATCAAAGAAAAGGATGGAGGTGTTGTGATCCTACAACTGGAAAGTGCTACACATCTCGGGATGTGGTGTTTGATGAAGCATCTTCATGGTGGTCCTCAGAAAAGGAGATACTACCAGACTCAGATATTATTAAAGACGAGCTACAATCTGCTCAAATCCAGTTGAGTTTAGGCAAATCTGAAGATGCAGATGATGGTGGCAATGTCCAGCAAGACGTAGCTCAAAGTCCTTGGCAAACTGGAGTTTATGATCGATCAGGCAAAAAAGGTGAGCCTATTGAAGCAGAAGCACCAACTTCTCTCAGAAAATCTACAAGAGCCAGAAAGCCAAATTCCAAATATGCCAACGCCGCTATAATAGAAGAAGCAGCTGCATACGAACCAGAGACATTTGAGGAAGCATTTCAGAATCTGGAGTGGAATAAAGCTATGGATGAGGAGATCGCTGCATTAGAATGAAATCAGACTTGGGAGCTCGTGCCAAAACCTAAAGATGTGAAGCCTATCTCTTGCAAATGGGTGTATAAGGTAAAGTGTTGCACAGATGGATCAATCGAGAGGCACAAGGCTCGCCTGGTAGCTCAGGGGTTCTCTCAACAATATGGACTAGACTATGATGAAACGTTTAGTCCAATTGCAAAACTTACGACTGTATGAGTTCTACTTGCACTTGCAGCTAACAAAGATTGGAACTTGTGGCAGTTAGATGTGAAGAATGCATTCTTGCATGGGGAGTTGGATCGGGA